GATTTTTAATTTTATATCGTTTCATCGAAAAATTATAATTTTTAAAGATAAAATTAACGAAATGTGTGTGTGACGTAAATTTACTTTTATAGTGAAACAGAAAGTTTAAGTTTAATCGAAACTTGTTCTGATAGAGCGACGGACAGAACGATAAACCCCAAGTGGGCACTAAGTTTTATCATTAGGGCTAACTCCACGAGAGTAAAAGATAAATAAGTGTGAATTTGCATCCCATCTACAAGACACATACAAAACAAAGCCACCCCACCGATTTTTTGTCGGCAGCTAGATATTCCTGCAATAAGGACTGCAAACAAAAAAAGGGAGCACGGTCCAAACGGTTGAGCCTCGAGTAGAAAGATTCTCAAGTCAAGTAAACGACTGTTTGGCGATCGCGTGTATCTAGTCTTAAGCCTGAATCATAGAGTCAAGTAAGACGAGATTCCTATTGAAATTTGATAATTTTCCGCATGGGAAATTGTATTTATTTTTTCTGTTGAATTTTTTGTTACGATTAGTATGTTATCGTATATCTACATTATCGCTGTCAATATTAATGACATTACGTTCGCCACTCACGAATTCGATCATATCACGACGCTTCTTTTCGACGTTACGACTCAATAGCGCTTGAATACAAACTCATTCACTGCCGACCATATATAGTGCACTGTTGTCTTCGCTCTCGCGAGATCTGAAAGGCCAGACAAACGAAGAGCTACTCTCGTACAAATAAGAACCGGCAGTGAATGCGTTAAGCTTCCTTATTAGGCTTTCAAAACGTGTCCCGAGAGACATTCGTCGTCTTTTAAATCAAGTTACTTGCTTTAAATAAAGGCTTGCTAAGCAACGACACGTTCGATATGTTAGCGACACGACGGACGACGACGGTCCATCTGGACACGCACGAGAACACGATATATAATATAACCCCATATGTATATAAGCTATATTATACACTCACAACGCATCATGCTATTCTAGATATATGATGATGTAATTACATTTGGCGTACGTTCATATGTGCCGTTATACACAAATAACCAACAAATGTTAATATTCTTCCTGCGTGCAAAAGTACGAACTTCAGTAAGGATTTGCTAACCGTCGAACTAATCAACGTCATACCTGGACTCCAACAAAATTATCATTACTCTAGTTATTTGTACATTATGTGATTCTTATCAATTTCGATCGATACGGGCGCAACAGTGGCAAACGCGTAAGAAAAGCTTTGGCAGAAAGTGAATCTTTCGAAAATATGTACCTCTTCCGTTTAAAATTAGCGCTCATAGTATTACAATTATCGAATCGCGAACTGCTGATTCACTTTCTCAAAAGATTCATTATTTGCTAAACGCGATTCTATACATATACGTATAACTGCTATGTCAACTGATAAAATGTTATCAGTCCTTCAGTTAGTCCTTTGACCAGCCACAATATACGTCCGTATCTTTGATACACACAGTTTCCGTTTTATACACAATGTCTATATATATATATATATTTATCGCGTAAAGGTATTGAATTACCTACCGCGCGCAAGACTGTAATTCAATTGATGCAATTTAGAATGATCGTCTAATTATTTGAAATGCGCGCTTTCTCAGATCCAAGTTATATTGCATTACATAATAAATTAATATAACGCGATTTTAACTAAAGCAATCTTTCGTACTCTTTGTAATATCTTGACAGTCGTGCTATGTCAATGTCCGTTTAAACCAAAGAAATGTGAATGTCTTATATGATCGCGTTTTGTTTAGTTTCCTCGTTCATTGATGATTTGTTACGTCATCACTCAATAATGAATCTGCAAATTATAGAATTACATAATAATACATTTATTTTAATTATATATGTATACACAAAGAGTGAAAACTAATTTTGCAGTCGTTAAAATTCACATATCAAATAGATCTGTGACGTGTAATGTGACATTAGCAATTTATCATTATAGATTATTCGAAAAATTATTTTATTTTTCTGTATAAAATAGCAATCAATACGCTTATCATTTATAGAGATTACGATAATCACACTTATCATGCCGTAAAGTCACACTTGCAAGTTTCTTTTTTTCTAAATCATATTTATATAATTTCCAAAATTTTGTAATCACAAACCTATCATTCGATATGCAATGATAAACTCGTTTACTATGTATGTTTTTCGAACAACTCTCTCTGGTCGTATATATACATATACATAGAATGATCTCTGCAATGGCATTACAATACACAGCTTGTTCGCATTACATTATTATTATTATTATTATTATTATTATTATAAGAAACTGAATGATTTATAAGCACATGGTGATATATTGTTATTTTATAACGCGATGCCGATGAAAATTAAGAGATTTCTTATTACATTTCTTAGACCTTCCGAAAGATTAAAATTCCAATTTATTTCAACAGTAACAATAACTATTAATAATTCGCCACAAATATTTATATTGTACGTTAGGCTTGATGACGTCTTATTATCGACATCGGTGATGCAGCGAACGAGGAAAACCAAACTTTTGGGCATACTTTCTGTGATTCACAGCGAAGGATCGCGATAGTTGTTAAAGAGGAGCAACGGCGAACTGCGAATAAGCTCGACGGAATGGCATAGCTTGCAATGAGGAAACTTGCAATATAACAAGCAATAATTAAACCCCTCTTAATTCCATGTATATTAAACGATTATGTGGATGCTTAAACGAGGATTTATTGAATTATAAACGAGCAAGCCAAGGGATAAGGTGAAATACCAATTTTACATATTCTTACTAATCGTAAACGATTACAGTACATATAGCGACATACTAAATTATACGATTATGTATCGACTTAAAAGAAAAAGAACAAAAAATGGTATATATACATAACGATAGGCCGCCCGCGAGCGAGCGGGCGAACAAGACGCTAATCTAATCTACGTAAGTACGTAAAAATTTCAATTTTACACTACCGATAATAATGACATAACGATAAGACTATATAAGATATATTGATGATTTATAATAATAATAATAACGTTGTATAGAATATTTATGAAAGGCCCGCTATTGGGGGGAGAACCGAGCGTCTCCCTTCGCGAACGTTATATCGCGATCGCGACTGTTGAGAAATCGACACACCCGTTCAATCACTCGAGTAAGATTCAGAAGTGTAAGTTAAACGAGGGGAATATCGACTCTCTGTTCAACAGCGGCCAAGACTATAATGGATGTTTTGTAAGATATAAAAACAAAACGATCGCGGAGCGCCGAGGTTGCGTTCGAGGAAGCGAATCGATCGATTGACCCGCTCGATGGAAAGAATTCCGGGTCCGTCGACGACGCTTTTCTCAAACGGGGCAAGGGAGACACGAGGATCAATCGAGTGCACTCGAACGATTTATGAGAGAATATTACTCGGTCCCGGGTTCACTCATTGTCAGTTGGGAAAAGCGAGATAGGAACAAAAGATAGAAAGTGAGAAATTATCCGCCACGAGGCGCATGCGAAGGCCGATAATCTAATTAATTGTGTATGTATACAAACAAAAATAAATATAATATTGCGATTATAAATATTAAACTAATAAAGAATAACAGTATATATTATACACCTCTGTACATATAAATATATATTATATGATACGATGATTATATTGCGATATATGATTTATTATAAATATATATACATAAATATAAATACAACTCACATGAATTCTCTCACATTATTATGTGTTTATTATTGTTTACTTATGATTATTGAAAATTATTATCATTGCGACGATGACGAGGATAATGACGAGGAAGACGATGATGATGACGATTATGATTATTATTATTATTATTATGATAATATTATTAATATTTAAGAAAAGGTTCACAACGTGCCGTGTGTATGTGGGAATAAAATATATAATATAATGGACATTGTTCAATTCAATCTAACGTCTTTGTGGCTTATTATTTGATCCCCACCTTTTCGCAATACCTGCACCGATCAATATTATATATCCGCAATTATGCACTCTTCCTTTTTTGTTAAATATACAATTATAATTGTATCGTAAAAATTAACATGTAAGATATAGATAATAAATGCAAAAAATAAACAATGTAATTATTTATAGAAAAATGTAAATAGCCAATAAGATATATTCCGTGCTGCACACATAATATTCCAGCTAAATACTTGGAAACACTTTCAAAATTAAATTTTTTAAATTATACTTATTCAAATATCAAATAATTTAAATAATAACTTTTTTAACAATAATTCTTTATAAGATCAATGTATAAATTATAATACTATTAGATACAAAGATTTAATAATATAACATCTTTAATATCTATAATAACGTGTTTTTTATAGTACTTTTATAGTAACTTTTTGAAAAATTATTATTAAACTGAGAAAACAACTCCAAAAATATCAATTTTTTAGAAAGTATCTGGAAACTTTTTTGGTCTGAAGTAAAATAATATATTTAAGAATTTATCAAAAGATTGAAGTGTATATAACGATCAAGCTTTGAATACATGTCCAAAAAAGAATTAATTAATATTTTAACATCCCCTATGTTAAAATAAGCGAACGCCGTAATTTGTTATCTTGATCATAATCATCATTGAACTACAGAAACTCTTGTTTATGTAAAAGATTACCTGACGTCATCTCGAAAGTATATCGTTTGACGATGTCTTCATATAGCAGCCGATTCACGCCATTGTTTATAACCACACTAATACATTTACCGTAACATCGAAAATTACGTGTCACAATTTGCGAATTTTTACGCATAAAATATCCACAAAATACGGGATTTATTGCAATTTTGAGAACGATTTACAATTACAGTCGAACAACATCGCTGTACCGCGCGTGTGACGTGGTAGGTGGCTCTCATTTCGAAAATTGCAAGCGTCGAGAGTCGAACTAGTCGAAGTCGAGTATCGAACAGCCAACATGGCTGTCTCCCAACAGTCCGTGTTTAGGTTAGATTCAACTGTTGTGGAGTGGATCTGTGGGCGCTCGCTGAATGCTATATTTGTGACGTGATAGGGAAGTCAGTCGATTCGCGGTTCGCGCTTTGTGATATTGCGTGCAAGATGGGAATTTTCTTTGCTAAGAAAAAGCCGAGTCGGGTCACTGAGCAGGACAAAGCGATCCTGGTAAGAAGTAGTCTTAACCTCCCTTTTTCCTCACAGCGCTACTCTTGACACTATTAAATCGTCCTCTTATTGTTGGTCGTACTTAACTCAATCCGTACGTTGTTAATAATTGTTCGATTCGCACGTATTACAAACAGAATTAAGTTAAATACGTAGTACTCAAATATCAGAAGTGCATATTATAACCCCAAAACCTGTTTGAGAAACATTTTTTGACGTTTGCAGCAAGTGAAACAATCAATGGATAAAATTAAGCAGTACCAGAAGAAACTTGAGGAAAGCATGGAGAAGGAACGATTACTTGCGAAGGAACTTTCGAAAATGGGCAAGAAAGAGTAAGTATCTCAATTTTTATTATGGACAGAAAGCATTGTATGTTTAGTTACATATATCTATTATATTTAATTGCATACTGTATATTGTAGCATTGTATAATATTTATTGTATATTTAATTTAATTGTAAATTATTACATTGCTTATTAGCTAACATTTTTCAGCAATTAGAAATTTAAGATAAGAATTTTGTATTTAAATATAATTTCTTTTATAATTTTTTTTTAATTTCTCAATTATTTTTTAGATTTTTGCTCAATTGATATAATATTACGTAATATTTATATATATATATATATATATATTAATTATATTTTATTGCCTTAAAGTTATTTTATAAATAATTCTTACAGCCGTGCATTACTGTTGTTATGCAAGAAGAAATATCAAGAACAAATTATGAATCGCTTATACCATCAAGTAGAAAGTCTTCATCGTTTGATAATGGATTTGGAATTTGCTAAAATTGAGATGAAAGTTGTTGATGGCCTAAAAACTGGCAATACTGCATTGAAGCAATTAAACACTTTGATGTGTATCGATGATATTGAAAAGATTCTATGTGAGACGAGAGAGGGCATCGAAAAGCAAAACGAAATTGCTGAAATATTGACGTCAACTATTGCTACAGAGGAAAAAATTGACGAAAGAGAAATTGAAGCAGAATTGGATGCACTGATGGAAGCAGACATTAATGAGAAAGCTCCTGATATACCAAAGGATGTTTTATTATCAGATGTACCAAAGGATGTTTTATTACCAGATGTACCAAAGGAATTACCGGAAGAGGAGAAAAGTCGTACAAAAGAAAAGATTCAAGTAATGCAGTAAATGGCATTAAACTCAGGAATTAATGGACTTTTGAAATAAGTGATAATAATAAATGTAAAATTAATTAACAGACAATTGAGAGCTAAAAATAGATGCCAGTTATTCTTGCGTATGATTAACAAATTTATTTTATCAAAAAAGATATTACATTAAATTCGCACGAAGGCCTTGATGATACCTCGAACGAAGCCGAAACATCCGATTTTTGCGAAATTTCTTGCGAATTTAATGTAAGATCTTTTTTGATCAAATATATCTGTTAATTATACGTATGAATAACTGCGTCTATTCTTAGTTCTCAATTGTTTGTTAACTAATTTTACTTTTATTATTATCAATTAATATCTTGAGAGCTCAATTTATTTCTATTTATATTATTTTGAATTAAGGTTTTGTGCAATAAACTGTGTATATATGTACAGTAAATAATTCATTTTATAAGTAAGTTTATAAAATTTATCTACAAATCAAAATTTTGGTCCAAAGTATTACTTTTTATATCTTATTGTATATTATATACGATAACGCAATGTATATTATCCGACTATAAAAATGCATGGAAGATGTATGGAGCAAATAAACATAAGTTTTCCATATATTATATTTAACATGTGCGATCAGATAGATGTATTTCTTCGTATACATAGGTAAATATTACAAGTTTTTGTTTCGACAATTTCTTTAAATACAATCCGTGAATCTTTAGAGTATGAATGATTATTGATTTGATTTAGTAGTAATTAAGATATAATTAATAACTTAATGTGCGAAACATAAATTGTATAATTCTATAAAAGCATAGGCTCAAGAGATTAAATCTAAATATATGTAAAATTATTGCCAATACTAGTTGTGAGCCAATACTAGTTGTTACTTATAATTCAAACAAACACCTAGTGTTTCATACAATAATATAAATGGTTCGACCTTTCGTTTAAGTCCTTATCAGTGTAAGTTTAATCAAAGTATTAAAATTCACATAGATGTTCTATGTCATGGGAACATGATGTACATTATGGTTAAGATGGATCTCGAATTTTTTTGAAATGCTGTACGAAATATAGTCAAACAGTAATTATTTTCTTATGAAATAACAGAGAGAAGAGAAAAGGCATAAATTATATAAATATCATAAATTATAAATAAGACTAAAGAAGCGCCAAGTACAATCGAAGCTTTATCTTGTCTAAATAATATTTCTATGTAAATTTCAAATATATTGTTTATTGGTATAAACTGTGTGCCGATTACTGTCGGATTTAAAATGCAATTACTTAAGCTTCAATTTATGATTTCGAGTTCGACACTAATCTGTAAACAGTTTGTAGAAAGATGTATTTGACATTTACATAGAAATATTATTAAGCATTAAATGCAGCCTCGACCATATTTAGTATCTTTTAATTTATTTAATTTGTTCATATAGTGGTCCAATAAGTAACTTATTAATGAGTATTATAATTCTCAAGTAATAATGTATTGATAAAAACATCTATTTTCCATTCCTAGTTGTAATTATTATTTTATTTTCTTAACTTGTATTCGATGACTTGTATTATTAACTTAATATAGCCATATTTCAAGATATTTAATTAAACAGTAATAATTAAAGTACGAAACTTTTTTTATATTCTAATTTACTATTTTTGATCGGGAATTTAAACGAAGTTATGTGCATTCTTTGTTATAAATATAAACAATAATGTGAATTCGATATAACCAAAAAATTAAAAATTAATTTAGAAATATATACATAGACACGAAGAAAATAGTTATTTAGTTATTATTTTTATACATTAGTGTAATACTCAAGATGTGATCTCGACGTCATATGATAGCGCGAGCTCTTATAACTTGACCTTATTTGCTATTGGCAATTTGCATAATTATACCGATGTTTTTTTTTTTTAACCAGAAGTAAGAATTGTGTAACATGTTAACAAGTATGACCAATTTAAAAATTTATTTTATATTCTCAATTTTACGTGATATATTCTTACGAGCCAATACATTGTTATATTTGACAAATTGTGTACGAATTTAATAAGGAATAATTGCATTAATCTATCTTTATTGTTATTATTTTTATATATAAACTTTAATTGACGCGATCTATTTAATTATATATGTATAAGCGCGAAGATATATATATATGTATATATATCTTCAAATTTTAATAAATTCGTAACAAAGATTTATAAGTATTTATTGTTTATCAGGTAATTATCTGTTGTTGGCTCTCAAATATGTATTTTATTAATCAATAATATATCGTGATTTTTTAAATGAACTTTTAGTAAAAAGATAAGGCATCGTTTGTTTACAAAATGGTTGTACGCTTCTTCCTGATGGTAGTGTGAGCATAAGGTATCTTGACCAGACTTACAAATATTTGAGACTGCACAAATTTTTCCATTCGCTTAGTGTGTTGAGAGATTTACCATTCTAAAGGAATGGTAAATAATGCGTGTTATGTAAAAATTGTGTAATACTTGATAATGTTGTGTAAATTTAAAATTTCAAAATCTAATGTTTACAATGAACAACGAAGAACTTCATTTACATATTGGAAGTACAAATTAGTTCGGTCTGTTTTCCAAAAGATGATCGCCTCCAAAGACGAGTCATTTTTTCAAAATGAAATTCGAAAATTACCTGAAAGATGGGAAAAAATAGTAGTCAGCGATGGACAATACTTTAATTAATCTGTTCATTCATTTTGGTTTTGAACACAAAAAACGGATCGAACTAATTTGTACACCTATATTAAACTAATAAAAAAACTCTTGCAAACATGGAATTTTACATAATTCTCTCTCCCCCTTCTCCCCTCCCTCTCTCTCTCTCTCTTTAATAATTTCAATATTTTTATAAATTTAATAGTTATTAAAATATCTACTTCAAAAAAGTATAAGTAAATGTATATGTTTTGTTGCCAACTAGAATTTACAAATTTACGCGATTGCATATTATGTATCTATAATTTCATCCGTATAAGTTTTTTTTGTGAGAAGTACATTAAATTTTTAGAGATCATACATAAAACGTAAACAGAAAATGTTTATATAATCACTTAATTTATTTTTACGAGATCTTATACTGATCAAATTACAATGATGTATATACACGCATATATATATATATATATACACACACACACATACTATATATATATATATATATATATATTGTATATGTATATATAATGCGCACTCGGAAATTTTGTTTTAATTAATGTTTATTAAATAAATATTATATTTTTATTTACACTATCTTAATTTTTAATCAGCACATATTTAAAAAATCTTTTATAAATATTTATTTAATATTTTTACGTTAAACAAATGTTTAAAAGACGTTTTAAAAATATTGTCTGGTAATTGGATTTTAAAGTAAATATTTTCATAAATACTATATTTATAAATATCTATGAAATTGCTAAAATACTTTATATCGTAAACAAATTTAAATTTATAATGTAAATTATATATTTGTAATGTTGATTTCAATTTTATCCTATTAGAAATCTAGAGGTGTGTCATGTTTGATTTCGTACGCATTTGATTATACCTACGATGAATATCGATATTATACTATATGTGTTTGATAATCGACAATTTTATTGATATGTACTCAACATAGTGTATCCTTTGATACGCGTGGACGCTTTGTTAACGCAGAAAACGTTCTTCGTAGTTGTATTGATTACCATCTATTTGGGAATATTTTTCCTAAGGAGACGAGAAGATTAAAAAACATTGATAATGTATCCTAATTCTTCTTACAAACGTTCAGTGGCGCCTAGCTGATACCTAAAAGCAAATATATATCTCGTTAGTACGAGATAATTTATAATGACTTACTTGACCATTTATAATACGTGTAAATCGAAGATTACTTACAAAGAAAAACTTGAACGTACTGTAAACTATCAGGAAGTACGGAAATCTGAGAGTATTTAAATGACGTCTATATGGATGAAAGGTTCCGCATTTAAAACCGGGTGGCCTTGACGGATGAATGAGAAAGAGGGGAGGACGTGAGAAGAACGATGACAAGGTGCTTGGCAAACTGTGTGCTTATTTTTCGATGCTTACTAATTTTACAATCGAGCAATACTCAAACGGCATAATTATCTATAATGTCTACTAATAATGGCCTAGATTAAATAAACAATCATAAATTATTAATAAACACTTAACATTTCTTGAAACCTATCAAAACATACAAAATAATAATACCTATAACATTGTGTTGTATACCTATAACCACAAAAATTTATACTAATAGAAGAATAATAAATATATAAAAATATAATATAATACCAATTTTTTATTAGACTGATTATAGACATCATTAGACAATATAATAAAAAGTGAGCATATATTGTGAAACTAGTTATTGTCATTGCATTTTTTATTTAAAATGATTGACGAAATTGTGTTATATATGTGGACAGAACTTTTTCAAAATGGGGATTTACACGACAAGTCTATGAACTCAAAAGTGCTACAAAAATATCAGACGAGAGCAATCATGAATCTAAAAAAAGAAAACGTCTTGCTTGATATAATTTATAAATTTGCAAGAACGTATATAATCTTTTGCAAATTTTTCTGTCTGAATCATTGACTCTTTTTGAATTCAAGTATTATGTTGATGCGATAGATCTTTAAGATATTTTTTTAATTTGAAGTGTCCATTAATTTAATGATTACGTCGATTTTATGATTGCAGGAAAAATAAAATATGCGTTATCTCTTATCTGAATGTTGAGTGGAATATTACTTTTAGGCGAAAATCTAGATCGTTTCATAGACCTCGAACTTATTATTCTCATTTCTTTACAATCACGAGATGATACAAGCTTCAGATAAAAAGTATTCAATGATCGAAGATCGAATATTGTTTCATAAATATGGTAGATTACAGCTTATAGTTTGTGATCATTACACGTCTTTTCACTTTCAGTGAGAAGATGCACATAATATAATTATATATTCAAAAACTGTCACAATGAGTTGTTTCCGTTTGTTTCTCCTTTGTTTTATTATTGATTAAAATTAAATTAATATTTTTTGATATTGATTACTCTTAGCTTTCTCAAATCTACAAATATACATATAATATAAATTTACTTTTACATTAACCGTCTCCATTTGTGATAAAACTTATTGTCTTAGGTCGCTATATATTTAGATAGTTATTATCATACTTTTATGTACATACATAAGATAAAAGTAGAAACAGGTGTGTGTTGTAGAAGGTTAAAATGATTATAAAGAATAATTTAATTCTGAAAAATAAATGTGAAATCGTGTAGTCGTATAAATATTTAAGTGATTTATAGCACTTTTAATATACTCAATAGAAAATGCTCTCTATGACTCTTATTTCATATTCTTCGCAATATATAATATTAGAATAAATTATCAGATTTAGATTTTAAATTGTAATTTGACTCTTATTCGCCCTGTTTAACGTAGATATTAATTATTATTATATAAAAGAGTCCTTGAAATCTTCAATTTATTTCTTATTTCAAATTTGCCTTAATATATCTCTGTTTCTTTTTCTGTCTCTTAAGAGAAACAATAAATCTTAAGTGTTTAAACTTACAAAATTCTCTTCTCTCGTCACAATATAGCTTCTTTTTAAAGAGAATTAACTACTATTATTAAAATAATATTTATGTACACAGAGGGGTAGACATTTTTTAGGGTTTCGTCACCATTCGGGGATTGTTTTATTTTTATGTTTTCTTATGTGCTTCTTTTTTTAATTTAATTTATGTATTAATATACAAATTACATATATACAACGGAGGATACAAAATAAAAAAAATAAAATAGAAATAAAAATACACAAAAGATAAGGCACTAGTAAAAATTGCTACAATGTCTATACCAGAAAGATTCGCTTTATTTTAATGTATCAATTTTTCTTTAAGTCTGGCTTTATTATAATGATTATTTTAGATTTTTACTTTGAAAAATATATAAGAACATAGAAATAAAATAATCCCCGAGCGATGGCAAACTCCTCGAAATTCTTTTTTGATTCTCAGATTTATACAATTTTATTTTGACAATATTACAATCTGTAATAAAATTATGAATCCGTATAATTTTATTACAAATATAATATGTATGTATCTGCATGTAATTGAAAGCTAAAATAAACGCTTGCATACAATTGTGCTTTACAATAATGTGACATAAATATTCAAAAGGAAAGTATCTTTGTGATGATTAAACATTATTTTCTTCTAGTTAACAGAAAATTCTAATTAGCATTTGTAATAGTAAAAACAAAAATATTTATTATATATTGTATATGCATATTCTTTAATTTAGATTTATATTAAATTATTGTAGTGAAAATGTATAGTAACTTCTATTGTCTATTTCTATTATCTATTGCTAATATCTATACGACCTATTTTTATTTTAAATGTACCTATAAATTTGCCATGTAGGTTAAACTTTTATTTAATTTTTTGTCATGTATGAGCGGTTAACGGATTAAGTATTCCCAATGATAGAAATAACACACGATTTCACATTTACCTGGCACGTCACGTTGATAAATCAACATTGATACCATCACATAGTTCGATTTAAAGCGATAGAGAAATACGATACGATATATAAATATATTTTTTTTATGAAAATTCGATGTGAGCGCGTTAATTACATACCATTGCTCCAAATCAGATGTCTTAATAACAATGCAATCAAAGCAACTGATTATAGTCAGAGATGTTACCAGAATTCATTATTTTATTGCTGCTATTAATTTTTCATTACGCTGCACGTCATCATTAAATAGTTTGTAATCAACACATTTTGAAAGTTCCTCAGACGGATTTTTCTATGAAATTGACGTAAATCAAATAATAAGCCAGAATATCCCACGTTTTACATTCTAGATAAATTTATGGCAATGTGCTTCGTTGAAAAAAGAATAAGGAAAATTATACCAATTGAATAATACGTCTAACTTCTGCAAATGACGATAAAAGTCTGTACAATTATTTACTGTATTTAGTCTATCTGTAGTAATACATAGGTATGTCAAGTAGAACAAAAATGTTGGAAAAATGTTGTGAAATTATTACAAATAAACGTTTTTAGTAGAGGAAAGCCCCCTATTATGAGATAGGCGCTTAACATGAGATAGCGGCGTTTCTGCTAAACTAATAAATGCTATCTGTTGATTCTATCATGAAATTATTGCTCTTGGATTGAAAACTATTTAGTGGAAAATTCATTGTGAGATCATGCCTACAGTAATTGTAAAATAAAATTTTAGAGTTTGAATGTTTTCGAGTTTCATTGAGATAAGCCTTTAATCTCTGTTTATTATTTAATAAGTAATTATTTGGCAATAAATTCTTCATGTAGTAATAGAGTAAGATCGTACTGATAGAAAAATACGAAATATGTTGAATTGTTTAATTAAAGAAGTTAGATTTGATGATCGTAAAGCTGTAAGACGTGATACTCGTAATATGAGATACCCAAGATATTTCTAATATGAAATAATCTATACTTCTGTGCCCAAGTGAAAATCGATGTTAAAGTATAAATGTTATTGTACAATAATAAAAAGAATAACCGGAATGAACATTGAGGGTCTGTTTCTGCAATACTTCATTTCAATTACTACTGAAGACAAATCCTGAATACAATGCATCACATGCTCAATTTACGCGCATAGGCTGTACTCGTTGATATGTTAGAAACATCAAATAAAGTTTTTTTAATTCTAATACTGATGTACTTTGTGCTTTATTATCGATTTCTCGGGGTATCTCATACTAGGAGCACAATTTTTCGACTTTGCGATTTGTTCACTTTTTACATTTCTTTAATTAAAAAATAAAATAGAATTTGAATTAAATTTTACATAACACTATCTTAAAGCTTATTAAATTCTCTTCAAAATGACCTATTATTTTTTTTAATTCTACCAATAAACAATTAGTAATTACACAAAATGAACTTGGTATCTCATAATAGGGGCCTCTCCTCTACGTTATAAAGTGTCCGTGTAGCAAATGTTAAGAATAACAGTTACTTTATCATTTATGGAACCAGTATAAAAAATAGAAAATTATAAAACGTTTCTTTACATTGTTAAAAAGCTTTTTATGTATACAATCAATCCAATTTTATTATTTGTTAAATTTAGCCTATTTTATTAGAATTACATTCCTGAATATACATGATAAAGTTATAATAAAAAGGGTAGATTCGGGAAAAGAAATTCGCTTTTACGATTATTCTCTCTAAACAAACGGTCACATATCCAAGGGTAGGCTCCATGTTCAGCGTTGTTTGATTTCCTGCACAACCGTGCAGAAACTGCTACTCCGTGATAGTCCATGGACACTAATTGTAACTAAGCTAAACCTGGAACAGATCTAGGTTAAATAAATGTTTTCAAATAGATAAAATATGTATTATAATTTGGTAATTTCTTTTTTCTTTTTATTAGTTATCTAAAGGGAAAATTCAGTTTGTAACTATACGATATTGAAATGTTCAAAAGAAAGAGGACACTACTCGATAGAGTTGCTCGCGAGAAGTTTGAGAAACACTGTTTGACACACACGTTTCATATCAACGTACCTGCGCTTGACTCTCGTAGTAACTGGCAGCGTGGGTTAGACAGACTCATGCGAACGGCTGCCGCGTCAGTCTGCGCTGAGTCTTGATCGTGGTAGTTGCGTTTTGTGCGCTTGGTGCGTTAGGGCAGCTGATCTTAAGCTGTTAGGGCCCTATTATCATCGCACAGAAGAGCAGCGAGAACTGACCAATAGGGTATTAGAGACAGAGTGTATTAGATCAGTGCGTGTGAAAATTCTTAAATCTTCCTACATTCAAGTCCTAGTCTAAGTTAGATTACAGAAATTCGTACAGGTAAGATACTTCTGCGTCTCTTCCAATAGTTACCAAATTGTAATATTCTATCTCACTGCAAAATTATTTGTTATACATATATATTTTATGAAAATATTGTAAATTTTTTTTATACACTGATAAGTAATATTTATGAGAGATATTCAAAGAAACTCGTTCGTTTTTTAAATTTTCTTCTATACAATCAAATGTTTGGGTTTATTATCTATTAAAAAAAGTTAATTGCAGAAATGATCAATTATCATTAGTTGGATAATGCTAACTTAAAAGAAGTTATGCAAAGAAACAAAATTATAATAGTAACAAAAATATCATCATAAATATATTGCGTAATGTAATCATCAGAAGACTATACTATACGCTGCCATTTTTATCAGAATATCGTTTATCATTGTCACCTTCTTTTTAAGACTTCACTTTTACACACTACACATCGAAAGAATATATGTTACTTGTTAAAAAAATGAAAAAGCATAGAACTTATAATACTGGAATAGGAATGCTAGTGTAGAACTGTGAGCAACATAATAAGGACAGAAATATCTTTCTATCTTGCTCAATTTCATGAACTTTTGTCCATGAAATAATAATATATAATGATGAAATGGTAAAAATATATATATCAAGTCCTCTCTTTTTCTTTAATTATTAATATTTCTTTAAATTATTATGTAGTATCGCGTACTATCATAAAAAACTTTGGTTTTATATTATATATAGATATCATTAATACATTATTATAAAAATTGATATACATTTATTATAATTATATGGAATATGTAAAATTGAAAAATCCTTTTTTTATGCTTTTTTCACACGAAAATAAAAATAATTTATCTAAACGTATAATAAATATTTTAATTATTATATACATAGTTAAATAAAATGCTTTTATTTAATCTAAATTGCTTTTAACAATTTGATTAAAATTATTTCTATTTTTCCGATTCTGTTTCTCACATTTACAAATAAGCTGTCCAACTCATTATTTGAGTAATCACGCGAAAAAGCTTATCTGCCTTTCTATATCAATTCTATATCAATTCATTAGATCATTGTTAGGCAGACATTGTTATAACATGGTCGACAGATGTACCTTAAAATTTAAAAAACGGATTCACATTCACGAACAACGTATTTGTCATCTCCTTATCATGCAATTTGTGCTTCGCAGATGCAACAGCTTGAATTATGAATGTGTATATTGTTTCAAGTATATGTGAAAAATATCTGCGTATATTTCATATCACTTGGAACAGTTAAACACTGCATTTATTCTCGTACGATGTTACTATAATGCACTGTAATATACAAATATTTTGATATCTGCAAATGTTTTTTTGGTGTACAGAGGTATTATTTGCATACTGCGTATGATAATTTTACTTATATGAAATAATCAAATGAAATATAATTTATGAATGCAATTCTTTAATGAACATATGTTGTACTGAATCTCTATAAAACTGCAAACAAAATTTATGTTTTAAGCTAATAGAATTTAACAAAATCCACATATAAACTATAATTTATTGTTAATTAAATCGAGTTAAATGTTAATATAAAAAATGTTAATGTAAAATAAAAAATATATAATATTAAATGAAATTAAATTCTTGATGAAAAATATTAATTTTTTAACTCTATAATTTAATTTAATATTCTTTTTAACTATTAAATTAAGTTTAATAAAAGAAATTATTCTTTATAAAAATTAAAAAGAGTTTTCTAAAATTTTTAGTAAGAAAAATTAAATTTTCTCTCCTTAAATAAGTTTCTCTTAAAAGTAATTTTTTATACGCTTTTATCCTTTTTCTATTATTCCTTTATACGCTCTTTACTTTTTATGAGCCAGTCTATATTTCTTGAAAGATACGAATAATTTCACAAAAAAAATGACTAAAAAGATTTATAATTATAATACACACAAATGTGTATGTTGAGTCTATAAAAGCGCGATATAATATATACTATATCAATGACGCAGTATATCATGAGCGTATTATTGCATCTCTTCTTCGAATTTTTGAAGACGTGATCAGTTTTGCGCGGTGCTAAACATGTAGAACGTGATAAAAACTCCTTAGCACATGATAATATGAATAACATTATGAAGAATATTTTTACCATTATTTTTTTGTCTCAAGAAAGAAATTTAAAGTTTTATTTGCAAAAACAAATCTATATATAAGCAGTTCGATAATATTTAGTCAATCAAATTTCAAAAATTTTCACTTATATATATATATATGTATATATATTAAAAATCTTTTAAAAATTATAAACATAAAGTGTAGTATAAAATATAAAAAATATAAAGAAGTTGTAAAGTATTCATTTTAAAGAAATTATTAACTGTGTATCTCGTCTGCAATATTTCTTCTTTATCTATAAATTGCTCTCTCCAATCTATATATTGTTATATCATTATTTGCAAGAATAACAAATGCGGTTTTTTATACACACAAAATAGAGACGAGAAATGAGAAGCATGTAGATCACAATATTGTTACAACATTGTAGATAGAATCGGCCGTGTCGGAGAAATTACGCGAATACTGACATGAGACGCAACAATAAATAACGTCGCTCTTGCTGATATTTTTCACCCGTCTTCGCGCAACAGCTTCGTACGCGTAAAGTCGACCATTTACTTATCTACTGCTACTGTGTGCGAGGTGCGAAACCGGGTTAAGGTTAAAACATGTAAGCGACGGGGGTAACCATGTAACTATCACATCGCCGTGCCGCGCCGTCGTGCAAGCCATTGACGTAAGAGTTGTGACCGTTTTCTGGCTGTTTCACGGGGGTCCGACACGAATACGGAGCCCCAACGCACGCACGTGTAAATATAGAAGACATCCGTCACGCACGCGTGCGGTCTGGTGGAGACCGTTCGATAAAATGCAAAATACACGAAAGTACAGACGAATCGATCCACTAACAGCCGGGAAATACGTACGACTGTATGTTCAGCTAGGATTTCTTAGGCATGGCAAAAAATGTATCAACTGAATGTTTCTTTTAAATGATCATCGATGTACTTCGTTTTTAAGTAAAATATCTCGCGTTGGCGCGCAACGGATATCGTCGAATTAAATAAATTGTCTCTTTGCTTATATATTATTTCTCTTCTACCTCTACTTATATTTCACTGCTTACATTATGTTGCTTTCATATTATTCTCTGCTTTTCTTGTATTTACTATTTTTCATTTTAAGGCTACTTATTATTTTACACTTGCATGATCATACGTAGGCTGAAAATGCTCGAATAAACAATAAGCTTAAATGTCAAAATTTTTTTATTGTCATTCTAAAATGTAGAGTTGATTTTGCCATCATAGATATAATTTTATATGACACGATTATACGCTATAAATAATTAGATATGCACGCTATCATATATCATTGATTCATGACACATATTTACGTCGCTCTAAATGTTGTATGTTGCGTTGGTACGAATGGATATGTAAGATGCAATTTTAGTAATAAATGAATATTTTTTTTCTTCGGTGCGATAAGTTTAAGAATAAAAGCATTCAAACAAATATTTATAATACTGAATATTTGTTAACATTAGTTAACAAATTAGATTGCATATATCTGAAATATTATTACTACACATATGTCGTCATCATATATCGTTGCACAAGAAAAATATTTGTGGAATATTAATTTTTTTATATAACTATTAATATTCTTGAAATTTTAAGACACATCAGTAAAAATAACATACTGTACTACAATAAACACACGAAAATTATCCCTAATCGATTTAAGCTAGAAATAAAGTATTTAGAAATAACAATTTTTTCCAAACTTTCATTGGATTAGCAAATAATTTTTTTTACGTATACTTAGTTCCCGTTTTAGTTAATGTAATATTTTTTTCATGTTTAAACACTTGATTATCAAGACAAAGTTTTCAATATGTAGACGTTTACCAATAATTACTACATAATATTACTTATCCTCTCATTTGTCCTTATCAACAGCGTTTTTTACCCGATATCGGGAAAAGTACTAAGAAGGGAGTAAAATATCAATTGCAGCAAACTTTCATCGCATCAGTTTTTAACTCTCGGATTGACTAATTGTATAAGTAATAATTCGTAAAACCGGGAATAAGATAAGATCTATCTTAATTTATATTAACGTACTTAAGCAGTTCCCTCATAGTTTATTTATTATGTTAGTAAAATTAGATATCATTCTTGTCAAATTGATATAATTGATAAAAATCTGTTAGAGATTACATGTATTTAAATCCAATATACACGTGCGCAATTTTTCTTTTATCATAACTTATATATATTGATAACCGTTCAACTAATTGTTATTCTTGTTGTGAAAGAAAAAATTTCAACTAGCTTATGATAAAAATAGTATGTGAATAAAACAGAGATATGCGAAAGAAGATCTGTCTGATCGTTGCGTGTCGATTTCTACTATGTAAACGTATCCTTGACCCTATGTCTATGTGTGTGTATATATATATATATATATATATCTCTCAAGAAAAAATTGATTAGAATTTCTTAAAAATTATAGTTATAAGCATGTGTGCTCTTATTGAATTCAATAAATGTAATATAATATAAGAATATTATATATATACACCAACAATGCGTGCACTCGCGCTACGTAACATTATCCGTTCTTAGAAGCAATTTTTACGTTTACAGTGATGACGATAAATATGAATATCACAATATTGTGATCAAGTTATTATCAAACTTCATAATCAACGAATATCTGTTTTTTAACAATATCTTCTAAACAATTTTTTTATTATTCCTAAATCTTTTAGGTTTTTGAAAGTTTTTTAAATTTTAAGTTTTTCTGTTTTTTATTGAGTACTCCCCGCACGCACAACAATGTAGTATCAAATTAAAAATCTCTAGAAAATATTTTATTATTTGTTTGAAGTCAATTTGATGATTTCGACGTCGAATTGACATCAATTCGATGTCGATTTCATCATCATTTCTCACTGGGGTGTACTCATCATTAAATATTCCTCGATGGTCTTGGAATATGCTACATATCCTATAACTAGATATATCTATAACTATATATGCGGCTAAAAATCAATATGGAAGGATTGAAAATTACTTACAATACCGTACTCAACGATTTTTTCACTATTATGACAAAACCGAACAGGCAACAATCAAAGCCCAAGCGAGAATCTCTTTTTTTACAGTGACGCAATCTCTGGTAGATATGATCTCTATCTATAGCTCATGGTAGATTAAACAAAATATAGCACATCTACATCAGAACAGCTTGTGTTTAACCAATATCCTGCACTTCATTGAACATAGTCTAGCCTCTTAAAGAGGTTCGTAGTATAAGTTACGTCCTTGGACGTCGCTTCTCGAGTATGTATGTAAATTGGAATTAATTTCGCGGCCGTATCATTGCGTTGGTTTGTGCACGCATACGGAGTCTCTTCGACACGTGTGCTTTGTCGATATAACGTGTAAAACACGCATAAAAAACCGCGTATCGTCGTGATGAAATTTTACAGCTTTCTTCTCACGTGTTTAGGTGAACTTGGATACTAATCATGTAGCGATAACGCGTTTCATAAATAAAACTTTATCTTTACGATTTCGGTGACGCGCTCAGAAACGGATCGTATAATCGCTCGGAATTGAACGATCTCTCACTCTCTATTATATTCGTGTCGCCTTATATACCGCGACCTGTGACGCGATATGTTAGTCGCCTGGAAAATTTGCTAGTCGAAAGACAACGTCTCTATATTATTAGCAATACTATATTCCCGACACCCAACACCATGGACGAGTCCAGTGGTAAACTAATTACAGTATGTTATACTATATTAATTCAATTTGCGTAGTATTTCTTTTCTAAGATTAGTAATTCTAAGGTGCAGTAAAAGAAAAAAACACCGAACATTTTTTCTTCACTTCAAGAAATGACATTGAATCAGGTTATTTAATAAGCGATAAAGAGATAGCGTAGTTGTATTAATTTGCATGCAAGATTAAAAAATACATTATCCGAATTCATCAGGTACAGTTTTTTCCGATATTAATATTGTTAACGTTGATATAGTTTAAAATGGAATTAGCGGTTATGGTAATTATTATTACCAATTATTATAGGTGCAGTATATGTGTGCAATGTAGTACACACGATAATTGTATTGTTTTTCAGAGCATGTCGCTTATAAAAATAGACTTTCGCAATTTCACTTTCGCGATGTAAAAGTGGAATCAGCGTTTTTTTTATAATTATATCAATAACAATGTTATTGGATTTATAATTAATTATAACAATAACGATTTCCTGCTGACGTACGGATGGATGTGATGAATATCGATCGTCTCGTATTAATGTCGTCACGGCTTATCTTCGCTTTATAATCGTTTGCATATAGCCTACTTTGTAGATAATCGAAGAATATTTATAGTCACTCAACCAATAAATTATGTAAGAACGATAAGTTCAGTTGATGAATTAAATTTTTGAATAATTTATCAACTCGACGATGAATTCGAATTAAATTATGTATTAGTAGCTGCTATTTATACTATTTATTATATTTTGCATTCGCAATTGATTATGATATTATAACAGTTAACGCGATAGAAATTTTTAACGTTAAAACAATCGAGATTATAAAAAATCTAGAGTTGAAGATCATGGGCGTGCTGGTTCTTCCGTTTTTTAAATGAAATGCACGCACTTTTAATTTACGCTATCAGTTATATTTTATTTATATAGGGAGAGAGTTTAACTCTCCTTTAACTTTTCCTACGTTGAGCAACTCCAGTTATGTTCGACTTCAACTTTTCTATGTAGTTCAAGCTAACTAAATTCGAATCATACCACGCATTCCATTTCATTTCTTTTATTAACTGTGAATATCTTTATTGCGTCGTACATGTTAAAGGGTAATAGTAAAACGGTTAATGTCTTTAAGACGAAAATATATCAGAGTGCGTTTGCTTGCTAATTTGATTCGAGAATATTATTTTATTACTCAACTAATTTTGACGTCACTGCTTGTCGCCCTTCTTGATGTTTACAAGGGATGGATGAGTAATGAAGTATACGAATAACCTACTTTCGAAAGTAGCGTGATTTTTATCAAGATTCTCTCAGCATACAAACGCTTTCGTCAATATTATCGGCAAATGCCATCTTAATAAAATTGTAATTTGCGTCAATAAAATTCGCTATGACATCTTTTAAGGAAAAAGGGCGTATGGAAAGTTTTTGTACGCAAATTGTTTCTTATTATATTCTACGAAATGCATTCATCAAATACCGTTATTAAACTCATAATTGTGTAAACTCATAATTCATTGAAAGAGAGATATTTGAGTAAAGATATATTTATATATTAAATACGACGCAAAATCAAGCTAAATAACGTCGATAATTTATGTTTCACTTTACTGTTAGAAGAGTTACTAATTGGATAGATATGTTAATAATCATTTGACAATTATACATATTTATAGATTAAGTAATAATTTTGTAACGTCTGATAATTGAAACGGCATGTTCAATTAAGTACTATACGCTATTAAATTTTAATAGCAGTAGACTGCTATCATATTTATGACAGTTGTTGTACTAACATCATTCATATTAAGCGAAACGATCCCCAACTTCACATTCACGAATGTCACCGCCTACAAATCAAGTGATTGATAGTGACGTGCGTTTGTCTCGCGATCTATTTTTAACAATGCCAAATCATGCAAAGTATTCTGTCCTACGTTACATCGCAAACACTTTTTCATGTTACCGTCAACCAGGGTTAAGAAATAACTTATTAATTGTAACGTCGTTACAATTATTTTTTTTATAACAAATAAATAACATTAAATTTCCTTATTTGTAATATTAATAGTAACGCACTTATTTCTTTTTCAATAACGGTAATAAATATAAACGTTATTCTTACTATTACTTTGTATATATATAATATATGTACGGAATGTATTATAAACGAGTTTCAAAGAAGAGTGTTATTTCTGATCATGTTGTGATTAATCACAACCATCCCAAGCTGAATAATAAGTCACGATAACGTCAAAATGATATTGAAATAAATTATAAATATATTAAAAATGACATTTAGTGATTATTTTGAAGTTATCTTGATATTATTTTGATGACTTGTGTTCTGCTTGAAATCATAATTACTATAGATTAGGGTATCGACAGTGTAACCTTTCTCTAGGACAGAAACGTAAAAAGTGAAAATTTTTATATGTGTATGTGTACATGTATGTAAAAATTTTTAAAACAATTTAATAAAAAACGTTCTTTTAGTTGTAAGTAAGTAACTGAGAAATTACATCTTTTAAAAATCTGAAAAAATTCTCAAAAATATTTTAATACACGTAATAATATGATACTATAAAAGGATATGTTTAGGTAATAATAATGGAATCCCTTTGTAAACAAATTTTTTTCCATAACAAAATGAATTTCAGTTTAAATAGTATAAAACAAATATAGTTTTAAGATATTTCCCTTTACATTTAATTTTTTATGTATTAGTACTGAATTATTGATTAGTGATCGTACAAAATTTAATGTTAAAAAATTAATTACGTTTTTATTCGGAAGTACGAGAAAAAAATTCATGTCTACAAAAAATAATGTGTATATTTTGTAATTTTAACTGCAAATGTCAAAAAAAGAAAAATTTTTTAAAACGACTACCTTCCATCTTGAATGCAAAGCATATAATACTTAATTTTTTTTATCTTTAACTTTATACAATAGGTATATGCATTAACATGACACATGAAGTGGTTATATGTATTGTATTTGAAGATTGACGAAAGAGAGAGAGAGAGAGAGAGAGAGAGTGTGAACAAAGAATAGGCTTTTTTTCTATATTCGTTCTGTCGGACGATATATGTATTACTAAAATTTTTCAAAAAAGTATTTCTTGTTTTAGCTATGTCTCTGGAGGAATCACGGAGATCACAACGTCCGTACCGGTACGGAATGGTCTTGCTATGCGTCGGAGCACTTATCAACTGGTTGGGTTTAGCAGAAAATTATGTTGAACCAGTGCGTTACGTTGGTGTCGCCTGCATAGTTGCTGGGGCTCTACTCATTTGCGCCGCAATGTGCTGTTGGCTACATGCACCGCCAACTAGGACGAGCACGCACACGCAACACACGAACCATCCGATTACAGCACAGGTAATTCAGACTGTCAATCTGGCGAATTTATTTGCTCCATCAAACAAAATTGTCGTTTAGTTCGAATTGAACTTGGAAGAAAGCCACTTCAAAGAAGGAATTAGAACTATGAATGCCATGACTCATATATCAACACAAATCTATATTACCGGTTTTCTAATTAATTAATTATTCGTTTCTTTGTAACTTTGCCTTCATTAATCATTGCTATCACATAACGTTTCGTATACGTGTGCTTTTAGAATACGAGCAATAATTATTATAATTAGTTTCTTGTAGTTTACAAATGTCATCACGTAATCCCAGAATAAACATCATCAAATATCGTGATATGTGATTGTACGATTTATTATAATTATTAAACTTACAAAAATTAAAAAAGACGTAACAACAATAAATTACAATTCTAACATTCCAAACTTCCTTTCTAATTAAAACCACTTCTTGAATCATATTTTAAATCTTAATAATTATTACTTTATATATACATTGTGAAATATCGTAAAATTATTAAAGTAATTAATCATTATATTAGTTATCTCTGAGTTTTATCTTTTTTTTCGTAATATATCTGTGCCATTAAGAAAGAAGAAATTAGATTTAAAATTTTTAAAATTTGAAAATTTTAATATTTCTTATATATATATATATATATATATGTCTCTTACATATAAATATATTTATTCTTTCCCTTATTTGTTATTTATTAGTTATTTTTTCATTAATTGAATTCTTAATATTTTAAGAGAGTTTTGGATAATTATATTAACATAACTTCACCAAATATTCCAATATCGTTACTATAGCGATAATAAATGTCTATCATACATAATAAATTTCTTTAGGCCTGATCCGAAAAGATGCGGGTCGTCAATGCGGTTGAAGGCCCCTGAGATTAAAACATTTTTAGATCGATCCGGGTCAACCCCCTATTATAGACCACAAGGGAACGCGTATTATCTATAGATATATTCTAGCCTAGCAGTAAGCCGCAATTACCAGCGACGGTGGACAGAATAAGAAAAAGCTTAATAATATACCCACGATCTATATCTCATACTTTTTTCCCCTGTCGAACGGTGCCCAGCAAGAGCGAGAGATATGAAAAGAAAGAAGAAGATAAAAATAAAAAGAGTACACTTTCATACATATCAGATAATATGTACATCATGGTGTTCATAAATAAATCATTAAAATGTTGGGCTCAATGTTGGGTAAACACGACCTGCGTTTCTTGCTGGTAAAGCATGAGCCTGGATGTTTGCAGACATTGTAAAAATTTCAAGAGAGAGAGAGAGCAACAGATGCACTCTGATCGCGAGACTTGTAAAACCGCGTCATTCATGCACATCCATGGAACGGCGCGAAGTCACGATTGCATCACGCGTTACTATCATTTCCTCCTTTCGATTTCGAATGACGGAAATATTACTAACGATTCCACGGATGCCTTTGATTTTCCTCGAATCCGGTAATATAATACATCCTCCTTTGTAAGAGATCAGCATTATTGTCAATATATATAAATACTATTGATGATTCATACTCTTTTTTTCTTCTATTGCGATATCTATTCAACGTTATCAGCACGCCTAATCAGCATTTATCTACTATTATTAGAAATAATTTTAACATATCGTAAGAGACAATTTGAAAGTATTATATAGTCAGTCCATTAGCGTTCCTTTATAATGCGAATTTTACACGATAATAATATTTAATATCTAATGTTACAATAACTAATAATCATTTAACGAGGTATAATATTGACAGTAATTAGTATTTATCTAATAAGATATAATTGAATTATATTGTAAATCTTTGTTTTTCTTTCTTTTATTACAAAATATATGTATATTTTGTTTTTCTTTCCTCTTTCTTACTTTTCTAGCCAAAGCTATTTTTAATCTGTAAGACATTTCTTTCTGTGGAAAATTATCGGCGAATATTCTTTATGTAAAATAAACGGCCTGTCCATTTTCAAATGTTTGCCTGTCCGTTCTTTATGCTTCGTTACATTGTATATGCAAAAAAGATATAGTGCACGTCGGCAAAGGAGGTCGTGGTAGAGTCTCTAATGTCGATTGCTGCTATAAGGATATTCACCCGGAAACATATACTGAGCTATATTTAACATTACTTATCCTTGAGCATATATATTGTATACATTTGGTTAAAATTCATAAAACATCTCTCCATCTACAATCATACATATTTTTATTTCTTCCGTTTGCAATCTGGATCTTTCTTGTTCAGCCCAAGAAATTTTTTACTATTCTACTAGATTTTCAAGAAATATGAAAAAATTCAAGGTTATTTTTCAAATTTATATCAAATAGTTTTTTAAATCAAATGATGAAACCTTTAGAGTGGATAAAAATTAAAATTTGGGGAGAAAAAATTCAGACGGAAGATTAAATCTAAAATAAATTTGATGTCTCTCTCTCAAAACGCTGTATCACGTACCACAAGAAATGTTCGCTGTCAATTACGCAACTTCAAATTAAGTCTTACACATGTTTACTTCTTGATTATATTATTGAGGAACGTTTGAGACGTTGAATTATTACATTGTCTCGACTTTATCCACGCAATTCTATCAATTCTTACGAAGTCAGATGTTTCCCAAGTTGAGAAAGTCGATTTTCTGCAACAGTACTATTTGATCCTTAGAAATTCATTTAAATCGATGCGTAATTAATTTTCTCATGAAAGTTTGATAACCTCTGAGATAACGCAACTCATCGCGACATTGCATTCTGAAGAAGGAAATTAACTTATATGATGTTAGAGAAATGTTTTATTTATCATTGAAAAACTTGGTAGAATAGATTGCAATTGCAATTTCTGCATAATTTTCTCATCTTTTAAAATTCTTTGTATAAATTTGGAAATTATTAATTGCTTACGCAGTTCGATTACGAATCAGTTGATTACTGAATAAAATTTGTCCATCTTTTACGTAACAAGCACGTGCTACAATGATTTCAATTTATCCAATATCATTATTTTCTCGCGATTCGATTATCATGACTCGATGTATTTATACGCCGAAGTGACATGTATCGGTAAGAAACATCATCTTCATATCTGATATGTCCAAATATAAACAGCGTGGAATGTTGTTTCTGTGAATTTTCGAGGTCACGTTAGCGCCTACAGTTGAGCGATAATCGATCACGTTTTAGGAGAATAAAATTTCGTGTAGCCACAAAAGAGGAGACCTCGGGGTCATAGCCGTTCACCTCGCCGTTTCCACTTAGACTCATTATGCAATTTTCCAGTAAACCTTTTTTTACCACCATAAATAGCCACGGCTATTCTCGTCGAACGCGCGCGCGCTCGCGTCTCGTACGTCACCCTACGTACATACATATATTCGCGTGCGCCCTTTCGCGACTTACATTCAGCCGGCCACAATGCTTCCGAGAGAATACCGAGAGAGCTAGGTACGTAGATATCTATAGACGACCTACGACGAATATAGCGCGATGTACACTTCCGGGTGAATATCCTTATAATGCAGCATGTAGAATATCGCGGGAACTACGGGGCCGGCACGTCGCGATCTGGATACTTTAAATAGACTCCGGCGACGATGTATTTCCACGATGATTAATTGTGCAACATATTTTTCCTCGAATGAATGTACCTACGTTCGCTATCATTGGGGAATTTGAATTAAACATCATAGTTGCAAAGTTGCTTCATAAATTATTAAATTAAACAAACAAGTTTTTTGAATCACTTAATTTAAGTACTACTTTTACGAATTTTTGAAGCTATATATGTGGAAGACAATAATAATCATCTACTTTCACATCTTAATTACTTAATAAAATTTCTGAAGTTATAGGCTAATTATGTGAATTAAATATTAACAGTTTTTAAATTAAAAAAAGACAGTTTTATTGATCTTCGAGTAATAGCAATCAAAATAATAATCGAATAAAATTTTGAGCGCAATTATTAGAACAAACCTTTCTAAAAGATTCAATAACAAACGATTAAGATCCAAATAACTGACATAAATTCTTCAAGTTAAGTAAGAAACGTTCAAATGTGTGCGAAAATAAGCAATGAAGCTATGCAATCTGGCAAAATTATGCAATTGAATTCTATGATACGCTGAAGTTAATTCAACCGATCACCTCCTTTTAAAGATCGATGACCCGATCCACGTGATTTCCATCGAGGAACCGCCTGGCGTGTCGAGGCAGAAACCACCGGATTATGAAGCGGTGACGGATGCACCGCCCAGCTACGATGATGCTATCAAGCTAAATCCTAGTCAATTAATCAGGTTGAGCAATGGCAGCACGCCGCCATTATCTTCAGGACAAATTATCCCGACAACTATCAGTATCGTCTCGCCAACCCTAACACCGCCACCACCATATGCGAGGTGAGAAATCCTTTTATTGTATTTAGGCTGCATCCATGTCTTGCGAAACATGGATCACTAATGTTATCTCCCAATAAAAAAAGGACATTATTATATATTTTTATTTTAAATACATTTCTTTTCTTTTAAATCAATAATATTGATTAACCACGCTTATTTCGTGATACCAAGTATCTCGTACTTAATTTTATCAGAAACATTTAAGTCTTGATAACTTTGAAAATAATTTTAAAAAAGCAGTATTTCCTGAAAAAAAAATTTTTAACGCTTGTTTGTATTTAGCAAGATTTAGAAGTGATAAATTTTAATACTAATATTTTATTTATACTTCTTACAAAGAATAAATTAAATCAAAATAGAAGTCAATCTCATATTGGCGGAATCAGACCTAAAAATACATAATTAAGTTTTTCACAAATTCAACAAGATAAAATTAATAACCAAACTTCAGTAGTTCCTATATATTCTTTTAGCGAGAACGAAAAATATGTGTTCCTATTACGAGTTGATTATTCATTTCTATTTTGTAACCACAATACTGATTATACCCGCGATTGTGTATTTATAATAATAGAATTTTTATAATTAAATACGGCAGATTATTTCTAGATTTGTAAGAAGGACTAGCCTCTCGAACGAGTTTCTTTCTGTTCCAGGTGAGATTAGAGTGTTGAAAATGGAGACCAAAAAAAAATGAATATACGCAGATCTGCGACGTGAATGAAGATGTACACCATTGTCAATTGCAAAGAGCGATCACGTCTATGGACTGCGAATAATACGATCATACGACAATTCCGTTGTTTGCTCCCGTCGATGCTCTCGAGATGCGTAACGTATACGTATAGCTGCGCAAAATGTGAGGGAGAAAAAGTTGAACGATTCAAGAAACGCTCAATATTCCACGATCAAGATTTGAGAGAAGATCTCTTCGCGATGGCTAAGATATTAACCATTTAGATTTATTATCTATTGAATTTAACTGCGAATCGGTGGCACTGACATCGTTTAGTGCTCAGAACGATTAATTCTTCCTTTGTAACTACGTTTTACTGTAATTCCTACTATAGAAAGAAACAGAGAATCGTTGAACAGACTCCGTTTTAATCACGGCGATATATCTAAGTTTATTCAACGCTGTCTATAAGACTTGTGGTTACTTTCAAATTATATCATGAATTCAAAGTTCGCTTTTTTATTTCTCGAAAGTCGCGAATGAATCTCTCATGAAATTGCGCGCATCAGAAAAAATAAGAACACGGCAAAGATGGTGCGCGTGTACTGATACACAATGCATAATTGCAAACATACAGGTCTATACTTATCGTATACTTTTTTAAATATAATCCAATAATCGCGTCTCAACGAGAATCCATCTGCGATGAATTATGTCAAAACGACCGCGATTTCTATCAATTGCGCTATTGCTCGGCCGTTCTCTAACCGCGAGAATGAAATAACGACTTTTGACAGTCAGATGTTTCGTTCAGCTCGCGGTCGACTGTTCATTTAATTTAACGATTCCAGTCGCGCCTGATTGACGCCGATCTGCAGAAACGGTGATCTCTTAAAGTCAATTGACGGAGCAAACACGTGTTTTCTAGAATATGTATTTTTAATTCATCTCATTATGATCGTGAGTTATTTCGGAAGCGACATGAAAAAATCTTAAAGGAATCACGTAAAATAAGTAAATCGCATCGATTTATCTCTACATAATATAATATTTAAAATTCATCGTGTTCCATGAATATTTGACCCATGTCACTTTCGAAATAAGCAGCTCAACTATTCACTATTAAGTTCACGTGACTTTTTATATATATACGATGGGAAATGTTCGCGATAGATTTTCTCACTCCGGGACACTATGATCGGGATCGCAATGCGCATTCGAATAGAGGTTCGCGTCCCACGATGATCCGGAGAGGAATCACAGTAATAGAGCATTTAGCGCGTTGCAAACTCAGCTGCGCGTAATTTACTGAAGAATGATCTTCTGCCATATCATCTCAGTGTCTGTCTCTTTAAATACGCACACGCGCGCACAGCACACTCATGCGAAAGCCGTTCGCACGTCCATTTATTGTGATATATATATATATATACTGTTTACATGTAGATATAATTATGATACAACACTGTCGAATGCAATGGCGATGCTTGTAAAATAAGACTTTTTATATCGAAAATGCAAATACAAAATACTAAGTTTTTCTACGGTAAGTTTTTCTTCCTATTGTTCTCTTGTTCTCACGCGTGTCCTCCTTTTGTATCATTGTTTCCTGCTAAATTGTCATATCGTGATAGAAGATCGCGTATTATTTATCTATCTTGCTCACATTATCTTGTATTTAACATAACGTCAATGTAAGAATAAGATTATAAAATTATACCACTACCGTTTTTAAATCAGCTCTTCTTTTTCTGTCACGCAAATCATATAAACATATTTTGCCTCTTATGAGCATTAAAAATATTTCGTATAGATACAATGTGAAAGGAGAAATAATTAATATTCATCGATAAATACCCTTTATTCAATCGGAGTAACATTTATACTTACTTAAAGCATGTTATTGAACTTATATATACCTGTAGATTTTTATTAACGGCAACAATCATAATCGTAATAGTGACGAAAACGTAACGATAATAGTAATACTAAATTAATAATAGTAATAATAATAATAATATAATAATAATAATAATAATAATAAAATAATACTGACAATAATAGCAATATAACAATATTATTCAAAACTAGTATATATCATAATAACGTATTCATACATATTGAATATTGCAGAGTAGGTATATTAATTGCAGCGCAACAGAACTGAAATTAGATATTCTGTTGCAAAGTCAAAATGTGACTATTGATTGTTGGTTCTTGTTTTTCCACTCTCATTCTTATCTTCTTTTTACATGCCAATTGCGCTAACTCGAAATAAAAAAAAAGAGGATATATCTGACGACAGTGATGATGTAATTATAATGATAATGATAGTGACAAGAATAATTATAACGTCGAGATTATTCGTAATTGTCGGTCGACTATCGCTATCTGTAATTTGTTATTACTCTCACTACACGGTGGTTGGTTAAAGTATATTTACTTCCTCTGCACTTGGTTTTTCTCATCTTATCAGCATCTCAGACAAACAATTAATTTTTCCTTTTTTTATATACATTATCTGGTACACACACATATAGTTGTATTAAACCGAATATAATTTTAACACAATGCAGCTTCATATTGGCAAAATCACCGATTGTACGATCGACATGTCTGCTATTTTATCATCCATATCTTATGAATTTATAATTTTGACATTCTCAATTCATATATGTATGATAATTTGAAGAGAGAAAATAAGAATATTAAAATTAAATTATCTAAACGTATTATGATATATTGAGAACATTTTCTCGGCGGTATAACTAATGTTGAATGTCATAAATACATTATTTGCATAATAAATAATGATCTATAAGCGCTTCACATTAACAAAAACAAATTTTTCCTTTTTTAATTACATTTATATTTGTTTTAATGAATTTAAAGTTGAATTATATGTTTCTCCACATTGTTTTCATCAGGCGTTAGATTGTTAAGATGATAAAAGTCTCTTGCATCTATATGTCGATCGATTAACTTACACTTGGGTGTAAAAGGTCAATCAGCGAAAACAGAAAATTCTGGCATGTCTTATAATAATAATAATAACATTCATACAGCTCCAACGAGAAGCGGCGACTCTTACACACGACATAGAGCCGGTCTTTAGATATTTACAAATTCCTCGCATTCCTCGTTCCAGCAGCAAAACAAACGTATAAAATAAATAGAAACGCAATATATCGAAACAAGAAAACAATAACAACCGCGCCGATACAAATGTACACGTGTCTCACGACGCGGTCGTAGGTGATTGCGAATATACAGGGGAGAGAATGCAACACATTCCAAAATTATAGTACATACGAAGAATATTCTCCGACCGAATTGGTCGCGACGTATCACGAAGGAATGCGAAGCTCGATCCTTCCTTGTATCCTTGATGAAACGATCGAGACTTGATCACTCGCCTCGAACAAGCATAAATTCGACAGAGGATCGGACTTACGATTGACAGCTGTTAATAAAGAGGTCACGTATGACCTCGTGAGCATTATTTTTTCCTCTCCTCCTCCTCCTCCTCCTCTCTCTCTCTCTCTCTCTCTCTCTCTCTCTCTCTCTCTCCCTCACTCTCTCTTCCGCCCATCAAAATCGCAGCTCATTATCGCCAGCGATTCTTGTTCTTATAATAATTGTATATCTCTGTGACTATGTACAGTCTATGGACAACACCGCATCGCACGTTTCTTTCTTATAGATTCATTAATATTATATAAATATGTTGGTATACTTCGTGACTATATTTTATCGACAGTAGTAAGAGTAATGGTAGCAATAATGACGATTAAGGTAGTCGCTAAAAACGATTTGACTTGTTGTAACAGTTACAGTAATAGTAATGATAATCATAATGATGAGATGACGATAATAATAATAATAATAATAATAGTGACTAGCTGGTAAATAGTTAGCCGATAAATTGGTTTATAAATAGCCTTTCGATTTTCAACAGAGAAACGTCATTCGGTCCTCGCAAAGTCGCGCGCTGACCTCGCTTAAACGGTAATAACAGTTACACAGCGTCAAGTGGCAAGAATCCGATATACAGGTAAATTAATCATTTTTACACGACTTATAGGAGCGACTTAATGATCAACCTGTCGAATAATATATAAACGCAATTTCTCCCGTTGTGTATGTACATAAGCGGCGGCAGCGGCCGCTAGTGATACTTAATTGATGCAGACATCATTATGTACAAAAGATATATCGTTACGGGGGCCAACGTCTCCCCGCAAACAATAGTCCGTTTAGCTTAATTCGATTGCCCCGATGGAGTCGTCATACCGGTGCGGTGGTTAGATGCCGTTATCTATCGTTTCCTAAATAAGCCTACGAGCCGTGGCATGGCCACGACGACTTTCACCGACAATCGTCTTCCGACGATCGTATATACTACGTGCAATGATCGTAAGGTTGACGTCGTCAAGTGATGTAGTCCGAAATTCACGCGAGCGATGTACGTGTGACGCACGCCTGGATTCTTCACAACATCCGGATGAATCACACGCGTCATGCACGAAGCCGGGTTTCTCCTATAGGTCGATAGGCCGATCCGCGGTGCTCAGTCACGATCGACGCAGTTTCTTTTCGTGTGTACGTACTCGTGTCGACTTATATACGTGTCCACATTTTCATGGGAACTGGGCACCGTTCTCTCGCACCATTCCGCGTTCACTCGTATTCAGTGGACGAGAGTGGAACGACTTGCGATCCGCGTCACGAATACGTCGACAGATCGCTTGGTCGCGCGAGTTCCGAGAGCGACGCTCAGTACCAGATCGTCGATCTTTAAGGATGGTCTCAGATGGGTGTCGGCAGGACCGTGAAGTCCTGCAGGGCGGTCTTCACCGTCTCGTAAATTGGCCGGTTGCTCTCATCGGTGCAGTAGCCGTCGGCGGTGCACAGAGTCTGCAATTTCGTCAGGTAACTGTCGAAGTTCTCATGGCCTATTTTCTCCTGCGGTCCGCCCGGGGCGTTTGGTATTCGCACTTGCTCCAGCAGAGTGATCATGTTGTCGCGCAGCGACTGATAATACTCGGTTAAATTATTGTTACGCTGAGTTATCGTTGTGGTTTCCTGCAAAAAGAAATGACAGGATGTTTTTGTTAATGCAAGATGCCTGTGAAAACATTATTTCAACGACAATCATCATATTCATTCATGCTCTTGATAAGAAACAATGGGAAATCATTATTCAACTACAACAAGAATGCTTACTTAAATATACACAAAATTGTTCTAGAGCCAACAGTTTCTAAAGCAATAGGGCCATCTCAGAGAGAGAGAGAGAGAGAGAGAGAGAGAGAGAGAGAGAGAGAGAGAGAGAGAGAGTACATTACATATGTTACGTATAAAGTACATAATGTATTATGTTATCGTTCTTTATTATTTGATAAATAACAAGGACAAATGATGCATCATGCGCTTTATGCGTATTTCGAAACGCACTCAGAGTCATCCTAGAACTTATTTTTAATTATTTTGCTAGCAAAATTTAAAATAAAATATTCCCAAATTCTTTTTGATATGCGAATTAAATAGCCCAGTAAAGAAGCTGACGTTATAGGTCATCGTTTTAACAACAAATAATAAATAGTTTACTGGAGGCAAACTAGCTGATCAACCAGCGGTTAGTTCGCTTTTATAATATCAGCATACGGTTAATAAAAAAAGTTAGTCAATATAATTATTATTAATATATTACTTTACGTAATATATTAATTTTCTATAATAACAATATAAAGAATTGTTAAATAACATACAACATATGTATTATCTTATGATGGTATTAGAATTTAGTAATAATTTAGCTTTGAAAATGAAATAGAATTTTGCGATCATGATAAGGCCATAACGCGATTATCTAAGAAGCACAAAGATCTATCTAAAAATAATCAAGTTTCTACTTAAACATATATACAAAATTGTTTGTTATTTAATTATTCGGCACACGGTATACTACCGACTGAGCAAATACTGACCTTTTCTCCCTGCTTGAGCTGATTCTCCATGGCGGTGATATCCGAGCGCAAGCGCAAGACCTGTGACTCGACCCGGGCGTTCTCTCTCTGGAGTTCGGTGATTTCAGCCTCCAGTGTGTAGAGATCCTCGCTCTGGACACCGGCGGTCCCGCTACCGCTCGAGTTACCCTGACCCGTGCCTACCGCACCCCCGTGAGCCGGACCACCGGCTTCCAACCCTGGAGACAGGACAGACACGGTCCAGTTTGATCGATTGCCCGTTATACGGTCGAAAGAGAGATTATATCGTATATTTCCCGATTTCCAGAGACTCGGTTTCACTCGCAATCAAGCGTGCACGGCGCGATTCGTACGTCCTTTCGTCTCAATGCGACCCTAATATGTGATACGTGATAAATGGAAAAACTACTGGAAATTGTTACAACTTGAATGTTCTCCCGACGGAAGTTCGTACGAATTTAAATACAAGCATTTTGATGAATCTGACTTTTTTTTTTCTATTTTCTGTTTTCGTTCACGATTGGAAAGCGTTAAATCGGAAAATCCGAACAAGGATTTACGGGATCTTATGCGATACAGATGGAAATGTAGCGAGCATTTAAAATTTACGTTAAGGATCGGTTCAGACAGCGACTCAGGCGAAGCGATTTAGTGAAATGCCGTAATTATGCAGATCTGAATAAAATACTTTTCTACTATAATATATATTGCTTTTTTTTTTCTCACTTCGCTCGTCCCAAGTCACTGCATTTGTAGCTTATTGTTATCTCAAGATAATGGGACGATACGGTTTCTTCTGCGTACGGTTCGTGCCAAAGTGATAAACGCATCTCGGCGAAAAGCGAAAGGCACTTTGAGGCTCATTCGATCAAGCGTGTGCTCCGACTCGGTAAGAGACGCACGAACCTGACAGGAGTGCCGTGGAAATGGTATGATCGGGACAATATCGGGGTGTTTTGAGGGTAATTAGCGTGAGGTGCCATCATACCAGATAGAAGAAAAAAAAGACGGAGGACACCGAGTGCTGGCGTCAGTACGCGGCGCGACAGCACGTGAATGAGCAAAAAGAAGCATTATGGTTGCTTACTGTGCCAAACGATTCACAAATATTGCCAACACTCGGACGTCGTCACGTAAAAGTAAAAATACTGGTGTGTGGAAATTCTGTAATGTAACATCGAAAACACATAGGAAACAAGTGGCGAATACGTCAGTCCCTTACCTTTAAAAGTAACCGTGCTCCAAGCTCAACATGAAAGGAGCTGATCCCAGAATAAATCAGAATATATTATTTTCCATCATTAAGACATACGGTTGTTTGTTTTTTTTTTTTTTTTTTTTTTTTTTGTTTTTTATTTTTTTTTTTTTTAAATAACAAAAGGAGAGGTTCCACCGCGGTCCC